TCCGTCTGAAAATTTATTCCTCAGTAGAGAGATATTATTCTCAATAAGGCCCAAAGGATAATTATTTTACTCTTTAGTCAAATGTTTGCTATTCGCTAGCCTCATACTTCTAATAATCATTGATTTCAAAATTCTAACCTTAGTCTTGTGATTATGGTTGAAAAGAAAATTAAGCAGAGTCAACATATGTTGGCCTCCTATAAACATCTCTTGCTAGCCTACCTTTTTTTGTATTATGAAAGCAGCAAGAAAAGGTAAGGACTTATTCTCTTCCATTTCCATTATGAACCTAATGTTCCTTTCACGCTGGTTGAGTGAAAGTAGGAAACTATCTAAACTTGCCTTATCATGAGGCCAGATAACAAAATATTCATTCATGTATCTAACCAACAATATGGAGGTTAGTAGAAGAAGACACATGAATCCCGTTGTACTGCCGCCATTTGGCTTATATATGGCGTTAAGGTTGACACAGTCCACGAGAGCTCCTCCTTCATTTCGGGTAAAAACTAGCTGAACTTTCATCCATCATATGATGGATATCAAAGCTTTGTCCTCACCATGAGGCCAGATGATAAAATAGGCATCAATGTATAAAAGCCAAACGACTGCAATGTAACGGGATTCATCCGTTCTCTTATGGTGAGATCGACCTTTAAATCACTTCTTTCATAAAAAATTAAAATCCCCCCAATAAAAATACGAGTATAAAATTAGGATAACAAAAAACATCGTAGTTTAGAAAAAAATGATGAAAAATACATGGAATTCTGCTTATCAGAAAGAGCAGGAATGTAGAGTAATAACTGAATGTAGCGAATTAGAAGAATGAACAAGAATTAAGAAATTTAAAACTGAAGATTTATCGGATAAAAAGTTAATTGTTAACGATAGTTCATTAATTGTTCGCAAAATAATACCAAATAATGACAAGAGCAAAGCTAAGAGAAAGAGGAGTACATGGTATATAAATAAATACATGTATATTATTAAGTATACCTTAACAAATGGCAGACGAACTAATACGTGACGTGGGTTTGAAGAATTAAAGCTGCTGCTCATAAAATTTATTTCGTCTTGGTAACTCGAGGCAACCCGACAGCAATTATGAAGAAGATGCTAAAGAAATTATGAATAATAGTTTGCGGAACAAGCATAATCAATGCAAGATAATAGACGCACCTCTGCTAAGCCAAGAGTGATATTTTCCAAGTGACATCCATACTTAAGTTGAAGAAGCTGCTGAAGAAAACAAGTAATATGAAAGCCGCCTAAATTCAATCTACGAGAAGCTGAGAATATGGGTCTAATTGCAGAAGTACGGCCGCTAAATAAGAATGGATTTGGCTTCATTGCTATCATGTGGCACGCTCGATAGCCCAAAGATACAAGGATAGAATTTGAGTCTAAAGAAAAAAATTTAACAGATTGCAGTGAGATATGATGTAACACGTAACAGTATGCCCAAGCAATTCGTATAAAAGCAGGAATTCACAGCACATCGTGCAAGAAGCTCATTGTATTAACGTTTACTTGTGGAATATTGGAGCAAAAGCTTTATTAAATAAAAGCAGCTAAGGTAATTAGATTTAATAATATAATGAAATCCCATATTATTATTTATGTGGACATAGTTCATTGATATCGAACATCAAATTATGCATAACCTTCACATTTCCGAGTTGATAGTATACTACGCTCTTCCAAAAAGTCTTGCTATGTGAACATCGTTCGACTCCATAAATATTCCTTCTACTGTTATAAGCCCATTTAAATGACTTAGGGATTTTATGTGGTCTCGAATGGCTGAAAAATAAAAGTTCATAACTTATGTGAAATAATCCAGAAAAGTATCACAGACTCAGAAATCTAATTTCCCTTAAACCGATTTTATATTAATATACTTCTGTCAAGGGAACAAATCTTGAAAATTGCTGCAGAATACATAGGAACTTTTAAAAAATACTTCGCAGGCTCAATAAGCATGCAAGCATGCTAGGTGATAGGGCAATAACTAAACATACAAATACAAAATGGCAAGTCACACTATTGATCTACGATGTAGCTAATTCATTATCAATAACATACGTTCAAATAAATATGATCAACTATTTATTTTCAAAATGAATAATACTTCGTAAGAAAAAGTAAACTTTAGGAGACATAAAAATACAAATCAAGTACTCACCGCAATCGAAAAAATTCCGACTGTTATAAAAGTATGAGGCAGCTGAGTCAACGTAATAGGATACCTTGCGTACATTATAAGTCTCGAACAGGAGCTCGTTCATATCTGTAAATAACGATTATAGACTGTGCATGTATCAATATGTACGCATGCGACATGTATTAGGGTTGCAAATTGTTTCATTTAAAACAATTGGATTTTCTATTGTTGAAGTTGTGATTCCAAGTTTTGTAAAAATATAGTCAAATATATGCTCCTGGACGTCGATATGAATGGAAAGATTCCTATCGAATGGAGACTTGAGGGAATATCTCACATCATCAAGTGAAGTTATGTCATTACCGACGGAAATATCACCCTTTTGTTACAAATAATATATTAATACCTTCTTAAGGCGATGCTTGTGAACAAGATTTCTGAAGCAAAGATGGGGCACCTTTGAGGACGCATAACCCGCGCGACACTCGAATGAACCTAGTTAAATATAAATACGTCATATAAAAAACCATTATCAATTATAATAGGAGATCCTTCCACATAATTTGTTATCCTATCAGGCTGCTGTAACCTGGGCTGGTATTCAAACTGCATGTAAGTGTAGCAATGTGGTAACTGAACATTGCGCCCCAGGCAATAAAGCTACCTATAGTCCAAATGTCTGAATCTAGCAAATTATGATCAATTTATCATTCTAATATAAATTTTGTCGCATAGCAGCAATTTTTAAGCATTTAACTCAGAGATGCTTTGTAATACGAATACAGAAGTTGAAACAGAATGTTTTGCTGTCGATGGAATTTCTATAAGGAAGAGTAATGCAGAGTCATTCGTAGTAAAAATGTTAAAATTCTTTAAAGTACAGTGTATATGCTGCAGTTTACTTGGTAGAACCTTATAATTAATTGATCTTATTATCACTTATAAACGCATACGCTTCGGGAGCCCAATTAAAAAGATTGCAAAAAATCAGCATTTACGAATCTTCTAAAAAGTCACTGCAGACTAGCCTACTTTGGTTTTTATTAGAAGATGGCTAAAGTTTTTAATATAGTTAGTTTAAAAGGACGAAGTACAATTGCTGAGATGATTTAGGAAAAAATATATTCATAAATATAAGGATATAGGCAAACTATAAGGATTAAAGAATAGTTAATTCTGAGGGTTTGCTGATTTATTTTAGCCTCTTATATTTTCTACAACTTTTTAACCCAAAATATTTGAATTTATATCTTTGCTCTTAAATTTCATAATAATTTCAATTAGTATCTATATGGCATAAAAAATACTTTCAATAAATACTTTGATTCGAGGAGAAATATCTTCTGTCGTTATTTCCTTATTAATTTAAGTATTATTCAGAATTCTGATGTAGTTTATGTATATAGTTCCACCAACTATCTGCCAACTTTCCTACTCTTATTCCATGCTTGAAACTACGTTTTAAATAATTTTATTAGGTCTAAGCGTTCCAATTATGTAATATAACTTTGCCGACCTATTCTAGATAATAGTATTGTGTTTAACTTCTAGATACTAGCTGGGTAAAGTAAAAGTTATCCTTGTCTTAAGTACTGCTCAAACTGACGATCTATCTGAAGTCCATGATAATCCTAGGAATAACGGTAACTTGAATAAAGATTTTTGGAATCACTCTTACATTTGTAAACTATACTTTTCATATAGGTATTCTTACGAGATATGCTGGCTGATATTTTAGTGTAATGACTCAAAGAAGCTGGTTTTCAATCCTGCTTAGGATCTTAAAGTCTAAGTTTAATGCCTTACAGGGCTACCTTAAGCGGCATATGATAAACAGTATTATTTTACGCATATACACCCTTTAAGCTCATATCGCAAACTATATTAGGTTTATTTCAATTTTCGAATATATTCTTTTGCAATATTTTCTGGGCTGGCATCACCAATTGTTAACTTTGCCAACTTTATTACTATGATTTTTCCTTTATACAATTTTTGTTTCTTTAATAGCTCTACTCGCCTCACTATTAACTATTTATCATTAAAGTTAATTTTGGACAGTTTTTCGGCTTCTTTCACTTCGGCATGTATATTCTAAATTGAAAATAGAAAATTAATTTTCGTATAACAAGTAGCTTGCTTACACTTTGTTACAGAGACAATAAGAATTTTCCTTGACTTCGATATCTTAAAATTAGTGTCAATTAACGTATTTATTATAAACTTTAAATTATATCTATATGGGTTGAGGCATGGCAGAACTCATAGCAGTTCATTAAGATTACATAGAAGATGTGAAGAGTGATTGGGTTTTGATGAATCTTCCGAAATAACATAATTGTTGTGACTCCTATTTCGTATGAAATAAAAGGACACTTTAGGCACTATGTTTACAAATAAAGACCTTAAACGTCTCAATAAATGTAATACTTGAATTCTTTGAACCCATAATGAAGTATTGAATATTCATTATAATATAGTCAATAGCGCTACAACAATGCAAAAAGATTTTGCACTTGTTATTTTTTTATTATATATTTATGTATTACGTCTTGACACAATATCGAAATAAAAATATTTGCTTATGACTGAATGTTTTAGTGGACCTTGGGAATATTTTATACTTATAAGCATTAGCAACGGTATTTGCACATCTTTAAGTCTAGAAAACTACGTAAATGGATCCAGATCACGATAGAAAAATAATTATTAAAGAGTTTGAGAATAGAATATATCAAATAACTAAGTGCTTGAATTATCCAATTACTGAAAAAAGAGCAACAATGTAGTAAACTATAGATCTTAGCCTATTTCCTTCAGTGTGTCATCAATTCTATGCGTATTTGAAGAGTTTATTGATAAAATAGAATTTAATTTGTTCCTAAAATATTTACTTACGTTTGGAAATTATTTGATTGAGGCAAACGTAAGTGGTGGTTTTCTTTAATTAAAGGAATATACAATTGCTGTTGCGACTTGCTTTCGGAAAGCCGAATTATTATTAAACAAGACAGAAAATAATATAAAAAGACGCACTTATTTCGTATTTAAAGTTAGTTTATATTATATGCAAGATTTAGGTATGGATTTGGAGTGGAATTACATATTGTCTTTTCAAAATTTTATGCAAGCAGAATCGAAGTTTTCAGCGCAATCGGCTAATATATACACTTAAAATACTCCAAAATTGCTTGTGTCTTTTATCCAGAGCAAGCATCAAACCTTGGATCATATTCAATTGTATGTATCCTTCATATTTATTGCTTAGGTATTTATTTTTACTACGACGTATGCTCATATGCAATAAAAGCAGGATTTTCTGAGATGGTAGTCTTTATTTTACATATTTAATATTTTTAATTATACTTACTTTTTCCTATACATTGACTCTACTATATTTTGTAAAATCTTTGTAATAAAAATGATTATGGAAATCATTAATTAGCCCAAAATCTTTACGTTAAATGGATATCTCATACACCTAAATTAAACTATTCGGTTTTAACTAACGAATTTACTGAGGTCCTTATTTTTATTAACGCATATTAACATATATTAATAAATTTTAATATATGTATGATCATTTTCTTACCGTCGAAAGCATTCACATTTCTATGCCAAGATCTTTTAGAATACCTTTTTTAGAAAAGATAAATTTTAATCATTTTTGGTTGTGATTTATTTTATTATTAGTAACACCACCCACACTTCACTTTTAGTTCCTTATGATCTATTATTTAATCAGATTTACTGATCTTCTTGGTATCTAATGCGCATCATCTAGTTGTACTTTACATTAAGTTTATTCGCCAAACTGATTACAAATTTTCATCAAAGAATAAGGCATGATAAGAACAATATCTTAATTTTAAAGTTGCCACCAGTATATAAATCTTATATGAAGTTTGCAAGTAAGGAGGAGCCCATCAATGTTCAGTTTTTCAGTCGTAAAATATACAAACTATTTTTATTAATAATAATCCATTTTATCATTTAAATTTTATATGCTATGAGGTGTTCTAATTCTACTTCGCTTATGATGATGAAGGACTGATAGATAAAATTTCCCACAAAGATATATGCAGACATTACTTTTCCATTGCATTTCGCATAGCCCTGATTTATAAGATGTAATCTTATTCAGGGTGGTATGCAGTTTAGACCTCGCCTGGGTCTTACCAACACCCATAGCGGGACTTGAACCATGATAGTGCAGCTTATAATCTTGGCATAACCACTACGCCATGTTTTCACAAGTGCCCTTGGGTCACAGGGCAGATGTGAACTTTAAGGAAGCTCAGACATTTTTTCATATCACATTCTCTAGTGAGATTGCTGATAAAGCAAAGTTATATTTACTCTTGTTTGACCTTGTCTTCGCAACTCGGTCATATTGGTAGGAAAACTTAAAGGAACGCAACTAGTCCGGAGTCCATAGTATGCATCATCATTTCCAGAGTAGGACCGTAAACGGGGTACATTCCCAGACGTTTCGCCGGCATCGTAGTCGGCATT